AGCTTTTCATAATTTTTCTTTTAGATCCCTTTTAGATATATATTTTCTATTTTATATCTTTAGCTTTTTATTATTATTTTTCTGAAGTATTTTCTATGCTTTTTAAACTGACTGTACCCCACCCTCCTTATGCTGGTATTTGACCGTAATAAAGATTTGATTTGATTTGATTTGATTTGATTAGACCATGAAGGCCGCTACATTGGGGAAAGACATTTGTAGGTTACGCTGTAACCCTCGCCAAAAGAAGGATGTCATTTTTATATTGCCTCCATCAAAGTAATATTGGGTTTCCAGAACTTTTTTACAGAACTTCTTCCAGAATAGTTAAGTATTATCTATTGGGGACATCTAAGAGAGCCCCACATTGAAGAAGGCTGATGGAGACTTCAAATGAGGCAAAATTCTCATGGTTCAATGCCAGGCCTCTGTTCTCTGCAAAAGAAATTGGATTAGCACAAATCATACTAAATTGTATAGCCTAGGATATCTGAAGATCATCAGGTTACAGGAGGCTGAATTAAAATATTTTTTTAGTTCCATCTACTGGTTTTAGCAGAAAGAGCTTGCAAATTAGTAGATTCAGAATGGATCCTAGGGCTGGGAATTGTCCAGAGTCAATTTCCTAGACAATTCTGGTTATCTAATAAACCATTATTAAACAATGATATAGTAGGACAGTGTGTTAACCCAAGAGAACCAGTTTGGTGTAGTGGTTAAGGCATCAGGTTAGAAACCGGGAGACTGTAAGTTCTAGTCCTGCCTTAGACACGAAGAGAACTGGGTGACCCTGGGCCAGTCACTCTCTCTGAGCCCTAGGAAGGAGGCAGTGGCAAACCTCTTCTGAAAATCTTGCCAAGAAAACTGCAGGGAATTGTCCAGGCTGTCACCAGGAGTCAACACTGACTTGAAGACACAAATAAAAAAAATGTTAACCCAATCATTGTGCACAAGCTTTTGACAGCAATGAGATGCGGAGTCAGTTACAAGAAAAGAAAAACTTTATTGAACTTGAGACATTCAAATTTAAGGTAATGATTCCACTTATCCTCCCATCTGCCTCAGATGAGAACTTGGAGAACAATTTCTGAAGCAGTAAACAAGGTCTTCAGACAAGAGAATGAGAGAAGGACAAATTTGGAAAAGGATATATAACAGTTGCATTAGCATACATCATCAACATGAAATCACCTGGCCCAATATTTTATTTTCCACCTCATATCTTCTAAACATTTTCTCTCAGATCCACAGACAAGGCATGGAGTTACAGGTCTTCCCTTCATCTTGCAAAACAACCCCACAGCATCAATACTAGGCTCCCCAAGGAGATCATTATTACTTCTTTAGCAGAAAGCCTTATTCTTTAAATCCTGAGCATGTGGCGATGGAGACAGTAAAGCCTTCTGCACACGTTCAAAAGTTCCAAGCAGATCTCAGCCAGATGTCTCATCCAATAAACCTTTCCCAGAGAGATAGTTCTACCAATTAGGACTTCAAAACTATAGTAGGGAGGAAGCAAGAGCGAAAGAAGATAAGCAATCACTTTGCCCCAAGGAAGTATGTACATTCCTGATGAAGATACTAGAATACAGTATGTACCAAAACCACAGGAATCTATAGCTCTGAGGCAAGGCTAGTTCCTTGGAGGAATTTCGGTTTTGCCCCAACATATCCTGCGAAAGTCACACTACTGTCCAGCACAAAGTGATGATAAGCACACATAGTGATAGAGCTAGTCTGCACAAAATATTTTGATTCTCAGGAGACTGCTGATCCTGAAAGTGCAAAGCAGATACAAAGAGCAAAGTCAAGCTGGGAAAACTAGGGATTGGCTAAAATTTTCTGAAGCAACTTG